GGAGGGAGGGTGCTTCTCTGGGGAGGTTTGGGGAGCACAGGGCACATGGAGAGCCTTCACTGTTTCCAGAGGGAAGGGTGGGAGAGTGCAGTGAGCCCCTTCCAGGCACTGTCAGCTGCAGGTGAGGAAGGTGTCCATGACTCCTCCTGTTCCTCCCAGCTCTGTTGATCCTCTGCCCATAAATGTCCTCTTGACCTCAGTGGACTGTGTATGGAGCAGGTGTGGGGCTGCTGCCAGGACTGGTTGAAACACTTGGGCTGTGGAAGGCCCTGGAAGAGCAGCAACCCCACAGGGTCTCGAGGAGGGGATGAAAGTGGATTCCTCTTGCTCTGGATGCTGCTGTGCCAGCATGGGGAGAAAGGATCAGGCATAAAATGTTCCCAGAGCAGAGCAGGAGCGAGAATGAAAGGAGCCTACAAGAAAGATGAAGTGACTATTTACAAGGGCCTGAATTGACAGGACAAGGGGAAATGGCTTCCTCCTGACAGAGGGCAGGGTTAGATGGGATATTAGGGGTAAATTCCTCCCTGTGAGGGTGGGCAGGCCCTGGCACAGGTTGCCCAGAGAAGCTGTGGCTACTCCTGGATCCCTGGAAGTGTCCAAGGCCAGGTTTGATGAGGCTTGGAGCAACCTGGGCTAGTGAAAGGTTTCCCTGCCCATGGCAGGGGGTGGAACCAGATGATCTAATTTAAGGTTCCTTACAACCCAGGCCATTCCATCATCTTTTGATTCTCTGAATAGGCTCAGGGTACCTCATCCTCCTACTTCCATCTCTGCTCTGGTTCTCCTGTGGAAAGTTTCTGGAGAGACACTGAGGAAAAGGAGAGAAGCAGGGGGTGGTGGCCAGTCATTCTTAAAGGGGAGTCTGGAAGTTCCCAAATCATGCTGTCCCCAGCAGGAAAGGCTGCACAGAGGGTCCAGCTGAGGAAGGGGACCTGCTGAACTGCATCAGGACATTCCTGAGCATGAAAATGCAGGAACCTCCCAGAGCCCTGATCAGCTGTTGGCTTTGTAGCAGAGACACAGACGACTTTCTCCATCACATCTTCCAGCCCTTGGCAAGGAAAAGCTCAGGTGTGTCAGGAAAATGACTCCTGCTGGAGAACTGCAGCAACTTAAACACATCCTCCCCTCTGCAGAGCTCTTCCCACTGGGGGCTGTGGGGGCAGATCAGCCACAGAAGGGAACACACACACCTGGCTCAGCTTCCTTGCATGAAGACTCTTGAATTCCCAACAAGTCCTACCCCCGAATTTGGGAGAGTCTTTCCACTGTCCCCACGTGGGATTCAGCGCTCCATGGCTTGTCAGGACAGACAAGCCCCAGCAAGACCCAGCAGCAAGGAGATGGCTGCCCTTCTGCTCATCTTTTCCTCAAGAAAAAAAGAAGGGGTGAAGGTCAAGGGTGGAAAGAAGAAAGGAGAAGGCAAGGCAAGGTGTACTGCTGTGCTCAGGGGAGTTTTGCAGGAGCCATGTCAATTGTTGCCTGAGTGGGGAACTTTCTGGAAGTGGGGATAAAAAGCCTCCAGGCCAATTTAGTGTGGGAGATAAGATAAAGAGAGCTGGTCCTTTCATGAGTCCTTAGGTCTAGAGGAAAACACACCTCGTGTGCCCTCCCTAGACAGGCATTCTATGATTTCATAAATAAGGTCCATCCAATCCCAGCTTGTCCACCCCTGATTCTGCCCCATTCTGCCCCTCCCACACCCCTTCAGGAATTGGGTTTGGGATCTTTGGGACCCCTTCTTCCTCATCTTCATCTTCCTTGCAGCACTCACAGTCCTTGGAGTTCCTCCAGAGTTCTGGGCTTGAAGGAACTGTGTCTGTGTGATATCTCCTGGTCCAGTCTTAGGGTGTTTTTCTGCAATTCTACCTTGAAAAGAAGACTAAACAGGCTGATGGAATTCAGAGGAATTGATATGGAACGAGGTAACAGAGTTGGGGATGTGTAAACATTATGCTACAGTGAAAGGGATATAATACAGCTCCATTAAAATCTACATCCACTACACAACTACTTTGAAAACCTACAAAAATTTTAAAAAAACCCAACAAGCTCTGAGGCATCGCTGTGCTTGAAAATATCTGCTGTTAATATTTCCACTCAATAGCCTACACTGCTCTCCTGTTGTACAGTTGTGATTCTATAAACACACTATCTTTTGTAATTTAAGCTGTTTCTGTTCGTGTTGCTATCACAGAGCACTGGTAAGTCTTCAGTTATCTACTGGAATTAAATTAGGCAAATTTCTGGCTAAAGCCAGGAAAATCTTGGCTTGTAACTCCTAACTAAAACAGTGGGAAACCTTCTAGTGTATCTTTTTCCCCTTTAGGAAAACAGGGGATTGAAGGTCCGTGCCTTTTGCTCACATCCATGAGACTCCTCATTTGAAGTCAGGGCCGAGAAAGGACCATTGCCTTGAGGAGAGCTGGGCTGTGAGTGTGTGCTGGCCATGGAGGAGAGGAGAAACAACTAGAGCCCAAATGTGGTGAGGAGCAGCTGCCCCCTGACAGGAGGGGGGATCCAGGGGATGGGGGTCGGGCTCTGCTCCCAGGGAACAAGGGACAGGGTGAGTGAAAATGGCCCTAAGTTGTGCCAGAGAAGGTTCAGGTTGGATATTAGGGAAAAATTCTTCACTGAAAGGGTGGTCAGACACGGGAGCAGACTGGCCAGAGCAGTGCTGGAGTCACCATGGCTGGGAGTGTTCAAAGAACATGTGGATGTGGCACGTGGGGACACAGGGGTTAGTGCTGCCCTTGGCAGTGCTGGGGGATGGTTGGACTCAATGACCTCACAGGTGGTTTTCCCACCTTAGCAATCCTGTGATTCCATGAAGCAGAGGCAGAATCACGAGCTCAACCCTTGGTGTCCCAAAGCAGAGTCTCAGGCACCAGATTTGTAAAAATAAATACTTCAACAGAGCAGTGCAACAGCAGGTCAGCTTGAGATGGTGCCCCTACAGAGGCACCCGGAATGAAGAAACCCCCAGGCAGTGGTGCCCTCATGGCATGTGCACCTGCCCCTCACGTGTTCTCTTGCTCCAGTTTTGGGGTTTGGCTCTCCCAACACCTTGTTGAGGTCTTTCTCCTTGCCCGTGCAGGCAGGAGCTGCTCTGATCTCACAGAGCTGCAGTCTCTGCAGAGGGCTGAACCCTCCTGCTCTCCTGCTTCGGCTTCTGGAGCACCCGGGAACAAAAACAGCCCCAGACATGGGATAAACATGACTGAGCACCCAAACAAACCATCAGTGTGTTGTTGTTGTTGCAAAATGTGGGACATGTAAAATTTTCTTAAGAAAGGATGTTCTGTAGTGTCTGATCTTTGTAATACTTTCGAGCCTAATCAACACGATGGGAGATTTAATCCAAGAAACAGAGGGGAGCCAACAAGCTCCCAGTGATGTCCGGGTGTTAGAAAAACAAATTATATGTTTTTAGAATTGCCTTGTTAAGGTTTAGGGCTGGACATGCTTCAGTGATCTGAGAGTTTAGGGGGAGGTTAACAAAGCTTGGGAAGAAGGAGATACCACTAATAGCGGGCACGGAGAATGCAGGATTTACATGCCACAGAAATTTGGCAGAACTCCCAAGATAAGGAGGAAACAAATAAAGCCAACTCAGCAACTGTGCTGAAATCAGCTGGGTAAAGGGTGATTCTGGCAGGGGCAGATCCCAACCACCTACCCAAGAAACCCATCGACACAAAAGCACAAGAATGAGAAAATCATTAAGCAATAAAAGATAGAATAGTAATTAATAACAGAACTATGTAACTTGCTCCCTACAGCTCCCTGATGGGACATTGTAGTGAGCTGGGGTCAGTCTCTTCTACCCTGCCTGCAAGTGAGAGGACCACAGGAAACGGCCTTGAGCTGAGACAGGGCAGATTGATGTTAGATATTAGAAAAAAAACATGTTCTCACTGTTCAGGTGGTCAGGCTTATGATTAGGGTGATGGGGTCCCCATTCCTGGAGGTGTTCAAGAGGTGTCTGGGTGATGTGGTTTAGGGGTTACAGTGGCAGTGCTGAGTGGACAGTTGTGTTGGAAAGGATATCATTTTCCTAAAATTTTAATTAATAGTAGCAGTTATCTGGTTTGTTTTGTTTTGTTTTTAACTTACAAAAGGGTTGTGAATTCCTTTAACAGACAGTGCTCAATCCTGTGATTGTTTATCAGTGATAAATAATGTATATCTGAGTTTGATCTTTAAATCACCAAAGCTCTGAGTTTCTCTGAACTAGCAATGATAACCTTCAATAAACGAAGCTTGAGGGAGATGAGGATTGAACATCTGGGGTCAATTTATGGTCTTTCAAAGACACGTTGGAGTGACCAGAAGGCACAAAGGGAATTAACAAAGACATTATACCCTGAGAGCTGGAGACTCTGCCTAAGGAAGGACAAGAGGACCGAGGAATGCGGACCAAATGAGGCAAGAAAGAATAAGAGTACTAACTAAATTAGGAGAATTGTTGCAACTTAGGACCAATGAATGTTAATTTGTTTGCTAAAATGTTTTAACACTTGAAAAGCCTTGACTGAAAGGGATCCACGTGGCTGGGATGATTCACCACCTATCTCGGGCCAGAATGAAGTAGTGCCCGGCTCGCTAACACTCCAAAGGGAGAGCCGGAGGGCTGGATTTGTTCCGGACAGCAGCAGCACCCTGAATGTACCGGTTCTATTGCGAACCCGTCCCTTGGGCCCGCCCGGCCCGGCCCAGCCCGGCCCGGCCCTCATGGCGGCGTCGCCCCGGCAACCGCGGCCTGGGCCTGGCGGGAAGGGGCGGGCAGGGCGGGCCGAGCGGCAGCCACAGAGGCAGGACCATCACCAGCAGCAGCGCCACGAACCCACAGCCAGGCCAGGAGCCCACACGCGGTCTCGCCATGGAGCTGGAGGAGGACGCGGGTGAGCCTCGGGGTCTGCCCGGGGCGGGGGGCTGCGGGCAGGGCCGTGAGGGCGCGGGCGGTGCCCCCTCGGGCCGGGCGGTGCCCCCTCGGGCCGGGCGGTGCCCCCTCGGGCCGGGTGTGCCCCCTCGGGCCGGGTGTGTCCCCGCTCCAGTGCCCGAGCCGGGACGGGATTGAGTCCCGCGGGTGCTCCCTCGGTTCTGGCCGGCAGGAAGGGGCAGCGGGGCGGTTCCGTGCGGTCCCAGCGCCGCTCCCGGCCCGGGCGGCTCGGGGGGTTTGCCGTGGATGTTATAAGTTAGTATAAGAATTTAGACAACTCAATTCCAATTAAAAATTGATAAATTTATTAAGCAAGCGATAATAAAGCAAACAGCGCTGGGTGGCCTGGGGGGCAGTTGCCGCGCCCGAGACACACACTGAAAATGTAGTAAATGTTCCTTTTTATACATTTCCAAGTCCCAAGTTTTGAATGCGGCTGCGTTGAGGCTTGAGTTCGTGGTTCATTGCTAAGTGGTCATCTGGGATTTGTCAAAGATGAAAGCTGCAGTTCTTATCAGCTGTAAATTTTACCAATACTGATACTTGTTTGTTTAGCAAGATGTCTGCAATTATTTTTACTGACACTTGCTTAATTAACAGGACGTCCATGAAACTTATCCTGTTGAATTATAACAAAAGTTCCTTATTCCCTCCTACGCATAAGAATTTATGAACTAAGTTAACAATCTATTACAGTGGATGTGTCCCCATGCGGGGGGACGGGGACCAGACCCCCCTGCCCGGGGCATCGCTGCTGTGCTGCCTCTGCTCGCTTCAGCCGCGTGTGAATTGTGTCTTCTCACCTGCCCGGACCGCTCCTGGGGCTGTTTGGGCTCTGGGTTTATGTGCTGAGGGCTCGGTGTCCGCTTCGCTCGCAGCGCGCTCGGTCAGGTCTGATGTGGGGCCGGTTCGGAGGAACAACCTGTGACAAGCAGTGCCAAGTCTTGAGGATTCCTGTAACTTTGACAGACAGTACCTAATCCCGTGATTATCAGTGGTACATATCTGATATCGTGTATCTATCACTGATATTTTAGCCTCGGGAATAAAGACCGTGCCCGATTAGTCTTGTGAATTCCTTTAACGGGCAGTGCTCGATCCTGTGATTGCTTCTCAGCGATAAATAATGTATATCTGATATCAGATATGTATATGTTAGTGATTAATGTGCACAAGTGGCTGTTTTAGCCGCGGGAACAAAGGCTGTGCCTCGAGCAAGGCTGATAAGACGGTGTTTCTTGGCCGGAACACACAGCTGGAATATATCCAAGGAGAAGAAACTGTGCTTGGGAGGCTCGAGAGCAGAAAAGGATAACTTGAACCCCAAAGACCCCTACTCTAAAGTAAATGAGTTCCCAGAAGTGATTGAAATATGCAAAAGAATGCTCGGGAGCGTTTAGCATAGACGTTAATATGTATTAGTTCCATAGACATAAAACAGTGTGTTAGGAGGAGTATCCCCCCCCAGAACACCCCGTGCAAAAAAACCCACCTGCTTTCTAATACTGAAATTGCAGTGTTAGAGAGGTTTATTTTTCACTTTTATTTTTCGGTGACAAAGCCACTTCCAGGGGCAGCTGGGCCAGTGCAAAGGCAGTTTGGTTTTCAGCTGCCCTGAGGAGCTGAAGGGGCTGATGGCAGGTGAGGTGCTCAGAGGCACCACATGGAAACTTAGAGCTGTTTTGTCTCCTGCATAATTAAAACCTAAATGTCCTAAAAGTCTGAGAGACGGGAGTGGCAGACCAGAAAGAATGGAGCAGGCTGGTCTGGCTCCCTGGTGTTGTGCCCCACAGACAGACCCCCAGGCAGTAACGGGGACTCCTTCTGGCTGCCTCCTCCTCACTGAGAATATGGAAAGTGTGAGGTTTTGTTAATAGTTACATTTTAATATCTTTTATAGACAAAAAAGTATGTGTGGAGTCACACTGCTTCACTGTTCAGTGCCTCAATTCTTCAGTTGTTTTACTGGTTTATAACTCCTCAGCTCCTAAATTATTGCGGGACATATTAACAACTTCATTCTGAGTCACCTGCACCATGTTGGGCTTCCTCTGGAATGAAACTCAGTTGCCTTCTGTTCTTCCTCCAGCAAAATGAGCTGATGGAAAAAAATTTGGTTCAGCTCCTGAAGGTGCTGGTGGGTGTGTTGTGATCCCCCTGATCCTGCTCTAGGAGAGCTGGAAAAGTGCTCCTGGCTCTCCCTTGGAGTTAGGGCGTTTCCCACCTAATAAGGGCACTGAAAGAGCTGTTACACTCAGTGTTACTGAGTCTCCTCTGTTTTGACCGATGTTCCAGTCATGAAAACTCCCCATTTAATTAATTTGATTATGCAAACCAGGTGCCTGCCTTAATGAGTGGTTTCAAACTAAGAGCAACTGGTTTGACTCTCTCAGACCCGCAGCCCTGATGTGATGGGGTGGGTTGGGGCTTTCCCCACTTCCCTGTGTCAGTGATTCCTGCCTGTGTAACCAGGTGCTTTTTCCCCTCTGTTCTGTGCCATCAGATCTGCTGGACCCAGAGAGGCTGATCCAGTGCCCCTTTGTCAAACAGCACCAGATCCGAGCCTGCCGCTTCCCCTACCACCTGGTGAAGTGTAAGGAGGTGAGCTGGGCAGGGGCTGGGGGATTCTGGGCTTGCAGACGTGCCCTGTGGGCTCTCATTCCTGCTGCAGTTCCTGACCAACAGCCTTGCTTGGCCTTTATTTCACAGAACTTCGTGATTTGTTCAGTAACAGCTTCAGGCACCCGTTAATTGACACAAGACCAGTGAGGGAGGGCTCGGTCACGGTCCTGTGCACCCCTCTTGGCTCCTCAGAGCAGGAGGTCTGGGAGGCTGCAGTTCATCCTTGCAGTGCTGGGAGTGCAGCTGCACAGCAGGGCTGGGGAGTTTTGTTTTGCTGATAACTATCTGGTGGGCACCTGGCACAATCTGCATACTCAGGGCTCAGCACATCTGGGAGAGGTTTTATTCCTCTCTCTGTCCTTTATCTGGAATTTGAATACAAATCATTTCACTGGACGCATTCCTTCTCTGTTGTCCTCATGGGTTGGATTTCTTTAAACCTTTCTGAGCTTTGGGTTCTTCCTGAGACCTTTGGAAACCTGATTGTCCCTTTTCAAGTTTGCCAGTGTGTTTTTAAGACAGTGCAGCAGAGCTGTGCCTTCCATTTAAGGTGCAGTTGTAGGCTGTGTGTCCTGGTAACAATGCAGTTAAATCATTTTGGGGGAACTAGAGCCTTAAGAATAATGAATAATGAGTTTGGACGAGTTTCCTGGTTATGAGGATGAGGTGAGACAGTGATCACCAAGCACACACTGTTGGTGTCTGAGTACTTAGCAGAAGAAGGGCTTTGGGTTATCCACCTGAAGATGCCACAGTGGGAGGCTGTGGGTGGAGATTGTCCCTTCTGCTTGGGACAGGTTTGCTGAGTTTCCTTTGCACACCTTATGAATAAATTCCAATTAATGCCTCCCCTCACCCCCCCTGGCTCTGTGCAGGACACAGCCCTGCCCCAAAGGGGACACTGCAAACAGAGCAGGTTGGATCCTCTTGGCTTGAACTATGTTAGAACCCTGCGGTCATGGAATGGTTTGGGTTGGAAGGGACCTTGATCATCCATTCCCACCCCCTGCCATGGGCAGGGACACCTTCCACTGTCCCAGGTTGCTCCAAGCCCTGTCCAACCTGGCCTTGGACACTTCCAGGGATCCAGGGGCAGCCACAGCTTCTCTGGGCAACCTGTGCCAGGGCCTGCCCACCCTCACAGGGAAGGATTCCTTCCCAATATCCCATCTATCCCTGCCCTCTGGCAGTGGGAAGCCATTCCCCCATGTCTTGTCCTTCCATCCCTTGTCCCCAGTCCCTCTCCAGCTCTCCTGGAGCCCCTTCAGGCCCTGGAAGGGGCTCTCAGGTCTCCCTGGAGTCTTCTCTCCTCCAGGTGAATCCCCCCAGCTCTCCCAGCCTGTTTTTCCCAGTAAAGCCTCTATCACTTGGAGGAGATAATTTACTGCAGTGACAGCTGAGCTCTGCCACTACAACTGGTGCTTGGGATAAAGTTATTGAATGGGAATCCAGGTGGCAACTGCCAACTCCTTGGCCGTTCTGAAAGGTTTAGGGAGTTTCTCTGCCTTTGTGCCTGCTTATTTAAAATACATCTGACTGGCTTACCTTTGCCTAATGTCTCTCCCCTGATGGTTTTTAAATTTGTGCTTTAAACCCTTTGCAGCCCCTGTCACCAAAAAACTGGAGGGAGTTGACTGAGGGTCTGTTCCACCTCAGTCAAAGGTGGCTCAGTGAATTGTTTGGAAGAACAATCCCAGGGGGGGTTTTAGGGTGTGTCTGACATTGCCCTGTCTCGTTTAGGCTTACCTTTTCTTAAAGCAACACCACAAATATCCCAGTGGCTTTTTTTGCCCTGTGGGTTGAAGAGAGGTAAATGAACTTACGGGTGATGCGGCAGGTGAGTTTGGTTTTTTTTTTTTTCCCTTGTCCAGAGCAACCCAGAAATTGCAAAGAAATTGGCCACGTGCCCGTTCAACGCCCGGCACTTGGTGCCTCGGGGCGACCTCAGCGACCACATCATGAAGTGCAACGACCAAGCCCTCATGGAGCAAGATGTAGGTGAGAGAACCCCCTCCCTGCTCCCAGGGGTCTGCTCACCCCCGGGGACTGAGGCTTCTTGGATTGTGGAATGTCCAAACCGTGGGATTCAGGCTGTTGTCTGTAGTGCTGTGTGACACAGCAGCCCTGGACAAAGTTCATCTCCTTGGCTTGGGTTTCTCAGGCGGTTTCTTGAGATGCTCTGGGTAGGCCTGGCACATATTTCATTACCAGCCTTGTTGAATGGAAAGGTTTTACCAAAAACCATGCAGGAAGTGCCTCTGGCAGGAGCTGGGATGCTTTAATGACCACAAGGATGGGCCTTTCTTCCTTCAGAGCTGCCCTCCCTGTAACTCCTTCCACCCTGCAGAGCAGACAGCAGGTTTATATCCCCTGCAGAGCTGCTCTGAGGCCAGCAGTGATGGCTGCATCCATGGCAGCAGCTCTTCCCCTCGCTCCAGCATTCCTGCTCAGAGTCCCAGGGAGCAGAGTCTTCTCTTGTTCCTTGAGAAAGGCAAACTCAAAGTTGCTGGATTTCAGCTCAATCCCTGCCTGTCCCCAGCCTGTTTGTGTTGGGCAGGGCTTCCTCTGCAGCCAGCAGGGGTTTCACAGCTCCAGCCAGAGCTTCAGGGGGTTTAAGGGCTGCAGGTCACTGTGTTTTCTCTCTTCCCCAAGTGAGTGGGTGCTGTGAGCCCCCACAGGAGCAGGTGAAGGATGGGAGCACGTGGCAGGCACCTCCATGTGATGAAGACTGGGAAACAGGTGAGGACCTGCTGCCTCCTCCACGGGGAGGCCGGGGATGCTCTCACTCAGGTCTCCCTTGCAGGACACCTTGGTTATGCCCACTCCTAAAAACATGGATCTCTCCTCCACAGCAGGCTTGCCTTGCTCTGGAGAACACTCCAAGGTGCTGCCTTGGGAATGATTTCCAAGCATCCCCTCCTCCTGTGTAAGCTTTTGTACCGTGTGTGCAGTGATGGCCATGGGAACACGATAACTTTGAGTTCCTCAGTGAAGTGGCAGCAAACACATCCATCACAGATCAGCTTGTGCTCCCTCTGGAACTCGTAGAAATGTGACAGAGATTCCTGATCACAGAATCCCACAATGGTTTGGGTTGGAAGGGACCTTGAAGATCATCCATTCCCACCCCCCTGCCACGGGCAGGGACACCTCCCACCAGCCCAGGCTGCTCCATCCTGGCCTTGGACACTTCCAGGGATCCAGGGGCAGCCACAGCTTCTCTGGGCAAGCTGTTCCAGGGAAGGATTTCCTCCTGATTCCCAATCCAGACCAGCCCTCTGGCAGTGGGAAGCCATTTAAGCCAATGATCTGGGTGGGGTTGCTGGGGTTTCTTGGTGCTGAGCCACAACATGTGTTTCCCTTCACAGAGGTGTCGGAGATTTCTACCTCTGCTTTTGTTTGGGGTGTGCCCAACTCTGCCATAAACAGGTAGGGATTACAAGTTTGATTGCAAACAAACCCGTGTCTGTGTAGAGGAACGTTTGCAGGCTCCTCCCAGGGCTGGGAGGAGCTGCCTTTGCTGCTGTACCACCCTGGTTGGAGGGATGCTGGACAGCCAGTGTTCCTGGGCTGCTGGTTCAGTGGGACCTGCTGTCCCAGAGAAAGAGCCCTCAGGAGCACAGACACTGCTCCTGTGTGCCTGTGGCAGGGGGCATTTCCTGTCTGTGTGCAGGGACTGAGGGATGTCTGGCCAATGTGCAGGGGAGGAAGGTCCCTGTGAGTCCTTGGGAGCTCCTGGGGCCTGGCAGGTGGGATCCTGGGGCCTGGCAGGTGGGATCCTGGGGCCTGGCCGGGGGTGCTGGTGCTGGGCCCTCCCCTCCCACCCCTTGCAAAGTGTGATCCCAGTTTGGGCTGGGGGAGCTCAGAGCTCAGTGCCCAGCTGGGAGGAGCTGGTGTTGCTGCTGCCCCAGTGTGCTGGCTGTGGGATGTGGTGGCACCACCAGAGCTGTCTCAAGGTTCATCTCACAGTGGGTTCCTTTAAGGTCCAGCCACGTCCTGCCCGTGGCAGCTCCGGGTTCTGTGTGGGCTCACCCCTGCTGGCCTCCCCTCAGGACTCACAGCAGCACTGTCTGCTTCCACCTCTGGGACATTTTGGGAAACCTTTGAGTGCTGTGGGGAGCTGCAGAGACGTGCCCCAGGGCATTTGTGAGGAGTAACCCCGAGTGTCTCGATTGCAGCCCCATCAGGGACCAGAGCAATTCGCTGCCCTCGCGGATGAGGCCCCCCGAGACCCTCCCGTACAGCGTGTCCTGCAGGGCTGTGAGTACTGACCCTGCCCCCTCCAGAGCTGGGGCAGCTCCTGCCAGCTCTGCTGCTTTGTGGCTCTGGGCAGGAGGGGTTGTATTCAGCACCTGCCTCCCTAGAGCAGCTTCTGAGGGAATCTGCTGCTCGGGTCACCCTCTGTGTGTCCTCTCTCCCCTGTCCTTCCCAGCCCTCCATTCCCATGGTCCAAGTTATGGCAGCACCAGTCCCTTGCCAGGTTGGCTCTGTCTCTCTAAACAAGCCCCTCCCCACCATCTCCATCATCCCCTCTCACCCTGCACCCTCCCCCTGACCTAAACCCAACTTTCCTTGCTTTGTGCTCTGCTCACTGCCAGGCCCAGCTAAGCCAGAGCTGGGGCTGCTTAAACCAGCACTGTGGGGGGGAAAAGCTCTCAAATTCCACCTGGGAAGGAGCTCCCTGGGTGGAAGTGTCCCATGCTGAAATCACAGACTAGGACTTGCCAGTAGCAGCAAAGCAGCATCTTGAAGATACTTTGGGGAATGATTATCCTGATTCCCACTGGGAGCAGCTGCAGGCACAGCTCCTGCTCAGGCAGGGACTCTGCAGTCACCTCAGGGCTGGGCTGAATCTGCCACAGCTCATTGAAGTGCCCCTGGCCCTTGGGGGAGTGGGGCAAATTGTCGTGTCTTTCACCATCTCATGCCAAAAACGCATCTTGTCCTTTCCAGAATTCGGAGTTTTAACATCTCACCCCTCTGGAAGGTGTTTTTCCAGCAGGAAGTGCCTCCCTATCTGGGACAGGAGAGCTCCTGTGGATGACAGACCTGCTCTGGACCTGGTGGCAGGATTCTCTACACTTGGCTTTTGCTGCACAACATGTTTCTTGCAACATTTGGGCATGTTGCCAGATGTCCTTGGTTGCCTTGTTTTCACCCACCTTCAGTTAGTGACTTTGGTTACTGTTCTTAAATAAATAGACTGATAAATTTACAGGGACTCAGAAACCTTTCCTGCTCAAACCCAGGCAGTTTGTGGTGCCTGCAGGGATTTCTGTGGACCTGCTGGCTGTTTGGGAGGAGTTGTGGTGGTTTGCTGGGGAGCTGCACAGACTCCCTGCAGGGAGCTCTGAACTGCTGGGGCTCGTGGGGCCGTGTCTGAGGGCCTGTTCCAGCCTGGAGAGCACAAAGTCAGTGCTGAGGGTTTCTCCAGGCTCTGGAGACTTCCCACTAATTAAAATCATCTGGAGCAGCCAAAGTGGCAAATAGTTTTTCTGCCTGTGATCTTTGTTTTTATCTTGTTGGAGTCTGAGTTTGTCCACTCTGGGCGTGGAAAGGTCGGGTTGTGTTTTAAACCATGTTTTCATTTACAGAGACTGCCTGGAGAGCATCCTGAGCTCACCCTCAGCCTTTGGCACTTCAGGGCTCAGCTGTCTCCTGTGTGTGAGGTGATTCCCATAATGAGGAATCCTCTCTTGCTCCCTGCAGTGCACACAACTCCAAAGGGGAAGCGTCAGGGGGACACTGAGGTGCTTGCCTGGTTTCCATCAGTTTTGTGGGTTTCAAACGTGTTTGAGAGCTCTCAGGTGCCTGTTCTGCGTTGCAGGGTGGGGAGGGAGGGGGGAGGAATGGTTTAAATCACTGAGAATACCTGTTTAGGCCGTTGCAGTTGTTCAGATCAAGCAGTGTCTTCCTAAAGTGCAAAGTTGGATCTAAATGTAGAACTCAACTGAGCAGCCAGACGTGGTGTTTGTCTGCCAAGAGACACATTTTCCTCTAAAAACTGGATTTTCACCATCTGTGTCCTACCACTCTAAAATAATACATGTTGACTGGAATGTGCAAAATCGGGATTCTTTTAAAATTCTGTCAAGTTCTGCCAAGGTTCTTGTTGGCAATTCAGAATAAAAACGTTTTACGTGTTCTGGGACTGCTTTTCTTGTGAGTCAGTCAGTAAGTGCTTACACAGGGAGCTCTCCTGTCCACCTTGACTTCATTTATTCTTTGTCACCTCGAGGGGAAGTGGTGACAGATCCCACATCCCCGAGAGCTGAGATCCAACATCCCAAATAGCTGAGAGCTTCTCTGGGCACCCTGTGCCAGGGCCTCCCCACTCTCAGGGAAATTTCTTCCTAACATTAAATCTCTCCTCTTTTGGTTTAAAACTGTCCCCCTCCTTGTCCTGTCTGTGTAAAAAGTCCCTCTCCCTCTTTCATAATCCCCCTTTAGGCCCTGGAAGGGGCTCTCAGGTCTCTGCAGCTTCTCTTCTCCAGGCTGAACAGCCCCAACTCTCCATCTGTTGCCATCAGTTCTCCCCTCTCCTTCATTGGGAGTGTAAACTCTCCTTGGCTTTTCCTTGGCTTTTCCACTCTGCCCCGTGTCCTTTGCCAGGCCCTGGTCCATCTGTGCCTTGGCTTTCCTGCTGCCGGGAATGCCTCGGGACTGCAGCACCTGGAGCCGGTGAGTGCGGGGAGAGCTGAGGGGGTGGGGAGGGAAAGACTTCACACCCCGCAGGTTCGGGAGACAAGAGCAGGGCAGGAGCACCCTCTGCAGAGACTGGGAAACCACGGCACCCTCAGGCTCAGGGTGGGACTCTGGGGGGTCCTGTGCAGGGCTGAGGATTGGACTCGATCCTTGTGGGTCCCTCCCAGCTCGGCATCTCTTGGGATTCTGTGACAGCTCCACCCGGGGACGCTGTTCTGGACCAGGGAGAGACATTCCTCCCCCCCAGCTCAGGCACCCAGTGCTGTTACTCTGGTCCTGGGTTGTGTTTTGCACTAAAGGAGGTTGATTTAAAAATCACTCCGCCCTTGGACATTCCGGGGTTAACACGAGGAATCAGCGGGAGAGGCAGAGCCGGCTTTGGTTCCCAGCCAACCCCAAACATCCTCGGGGGTGCTTATCTGCACTATCTTCTTTAAATTAATTCTGTCCCACCCAACCATCACCTTTATCACCCATTACCTCCCTCTCGTGCCGTACCTTACCCCCATTTCACGGTTTTTAACTGCTCTAATACTGACCCAACTGCTCTCTTTGTCTGAAAAGCTTTTCCCTCTCAGGTTTAATTGTCTTGGTTTAACCCCACCCAGAACATCCCACGAGCGTTCACTCCCTGCCCTGGCCGGCGGGATGGGGGGGAACGAAGGGGGGGAAAAAGTAAAACTTGTGGGTTGAGATAAGGACTGGTTAATTAAATTTAATTTAATAATTAAAACTATTATTGGGTTTTTTTATTATTATTTTTAAAAAGGGAGAGAGGAGTAAAACCCAAGAGAAACAAGTTCTGCACCACCACCCACTGACCTTCCCCAGCAGCGATTGCAGCTCCCAGCCCTTCCCCCAGTTTATGAACTGGGAATGGCACCCTGGGGGGTGGAAGATCCCTCTGGCCAGTTCGGGGGGGCCCCGTCCTGGCCCTGCTCCCTCCCTCTGCTCCCTGGCAGGGCCTGGGAACCTGCGAAGTCCTTGGTTTAAACACAAACCAGCCGAGTGTTATCAGCGCCATTCCCACACTGAATCCCAAACACGGGCAACTGGAGGAAATGAGCTCTACCTCGAGTGAAACCAGGACATAAAACCCTCCCGGGTTTCTCAGTCACAGCTTCAGAGCATCAGTTCTGCTTCCAGCCTGGAGGGGCTGCCCAGGGACCGAAGCCCTTCAGAGCTGTCCCATCTCTGCACCCCTTCAGACCTCCAGCCCTGACTTCCTGCCTTCCTTGCTGGGTATTTTCTTACTCAGTAAGTGTTTTGTAGCTGTGGGGGAACTGGAATTATGTCAAACCGGAAATTAATAGCAAGAAGAAGATAATCCAACCCCTTGATCTCAAATTTGAAATCCACCACCTCTTCATCAACAGCCCTATTTTGCCCTCCAGGTTCTTCCCTCACTGCTCTGAACCAGAACCCACAGAAGGTGCAGCAGGACAGGGGGGCTCCAGCCCCCCTACCCCATTAGCCCCATCCCTTTGGCTCCTTCTGCTACCAAAGAATTCCTACAAGCCCCTCCTCACCCTCCCTTGCTGTGATCCCACTCCCAGCTGGCCAATCCTGCTTCCACCTTCTGGGAACTTCCCCCTGAGCTGGGACAATACTGACCTGTTCCTGCTGGTTTATCTGGACCCCCAAAGTGTTGGTCAAGGTAAAAAAACCCTCCATTTTGGCTGAAAAACAAAATCTTTATTCACAGAATATCACGTCAATCACATCGTGGCCCACCCTCGCTCCTTTGTGTATAAAATACTGGTAAAAAGGGTTTTTTTTCCAGAGGGAACTGAATTCCCAGTGTCCCCTCATGGGAGAGCAGCTCATCCCAGAGCTGGAAGTCGTGGCAAGCAGAACTGAGGTCTTCAGGAAGTCAGGAGACCAATCCCACCCCATCCCACTGCAGGGGAGGCTTTTTGGGGGGTTTTACACAACACCCCTGAGAGCACTTGGGTTTCCAAATCCACACCTTGGGCTTCCCACGCAGCACAACCTTGTCTGAAGGGACATTTCCTCAGACCCAGGTCCCCAGGGGGTTCCTCCAAGCCCCTCTGGATGCAGGGGGACAGCAAGGCCACTTGGCTCCCCAAGGGGACAGCAGCCTGTGCAGGGACAAGGAAATTCCAGGAGGCAAAACATCTCCTGAAATGCCAAACTGGGCTCAGAAACACCAAAAAAAATCCAGTTCCAAACCTTTTATGGCTCCCACCACAGCCCCAAAGGAAAGAGGTTGGCCAGAGCCCCACCTTTATGTGAGACAAACCCTCCTGCAGCAGGTCACAACCACAGAAACAGTGACAACCCCAAACTGAACTCCAATGGGAATGGAATTGGAGTTCATGGGAAACAGGAAGAGATTTCAGGGACCCCTCACAAGTGCCCAGCTGCCCTGCCAGTGACCTCCCAAGGGCACCCCAGGATGAATCCATCAGATTTCATACTCAGAATAAATCTAACTTTGGATTTAGGTTTAGGTTGCAGAGCAAGACAGATGCTGTCACTGCATGATTCCTCTTTTCCTTTGAATCCCCCCCTCCCTTGGGCTCAAATGAATCCCAATCCCATGCCTGCCCTGCTGAGGTGTGTCCTTGCAAAGCAGCTCTGGGTGGGCCCAGCACAGCCCACGCCTCACCTGCCCACGCTCCCTGAAACTCATTTTTGGAGTTTCTAAAACCGTTTCTCCCCATTTGCACCAGCCCACAGGAGAAAAGCAAAGACAGAATGTACAACTTGGGATCTGTCACTGATCCAGAGACCCACAGCCATTCCAGGCAGAAAACAGGGCAGGAATTGCCAGCACAAGGCCACATCACCTGGATGTGACACCTCTGTGCTGCTGCCAGACATCAGGGAATGCTCCAGACACCGTGGGATGGGAATGGATCTGAGGGGTGATTGAAAGAGATGCTGCCCAAAATCCCAGGATGGCCCCTGTGACAGGACCCTCAGGCTGCAGGGAAAGGAGGGAAAGGACTGGAAAGAGGTTCCCCCAAGTGTCTGTCCCAGTAACTCCCCAGAGGCAGAGCTGACCAGGAGAACACCCTTCCCAAGGCTGGGGATGTGGATGTGACCATCCCAAGGCACAGAGCTTGAGGAACCACAGCTGCCTGTGACAGGCCTGCTGTGCTCATCCCACTGTCCCTGTGACGTGAAGAGCAGCAGGGAGCCCCTTCCAGCTCCGTGAGCAATCCCACAGCCCCGTGGAGCACAGGGGGACTCAGCTGCTCCATCAGCCCCAGAGTACCAACTGCAGAGCCCAGAAGCCAAGCAGCACCTCAGGAAGGAGCACAGCCCACCCAGGGGATGTTCACCCGACTGGGGCAGGCAGGAACACAGCACTGAACCTCCCGTGGGAGCAGAGGGAGGTACCAAAGAGCCTCAGGCGAGCTGAGCAGCACTGCAGCCTCAGCCAGCAGATCTGTGCTAGCTGATGATGAGTGTGGAGTTCACTCAGGTTCAACTGTGCCCTCTTAAGGCCTCTCCCCACGAACCCTCCTGCTCCTCCAAGCACGTGGTGGATCTGCAGATGGAAACCCTTCACTGCCCAACTCCTCCTGCACCCTCAGTCCACAGGGCCGTGGGAGGTCTCTGTGCCACTCCTGCACTGCCAAGTGCAGTGCCAGGCTCAGCTCTGGCCAGCACAGGAGAGGTTCACTGCACTTCCACTCTGCCTCTGTGTCCTCCTGTGCCTCCAAAGGGACATTCCTGCCTCGCCTGGCTGGGCACAACATTCACTTCTGCTTCCTCTGCACCAGATCTCAAACCTGCAGACACCAGGTGAGAGCTGTAGAGGCCAGGGGGGTGTTTTCACAGGGCCACTCTCAATGACAGCGTCCCCAGACACATCCAGTTCCCAACGTGCTCTCCACGTGTCCAGGTGGGATTTGTAAACTCCAAAGTCCGTGGGAAGGGCTCATCCAAAGCAGCACCCAGAGGGAAGTCCAGTCCACGTTGTTCCAAAGGCCTGTGGCAGGGGCTCAGCAGCTCATGTGAGGTACTGCACCACGAGGAACATGATGACACAGGTCACTGCCATCCCCCCCAGCATCAGGAACTTGTCCTGGAAGGCGCGTTTCTCGATCAGCCTCATCACCGTGTTGGACAAGCCCAGCATGTTGGCAACATCCAGGATCTTCTTGTGGGTACCCTGGGAGCAAAAACACACCACACACACCATCAGCCTCCTGCTCTGGCACTGCTCATTCTACAGCCCAGGAGTGGCTGGTGAGGGATGGGTTGTGACCCCTGGAACCATCTGATGGGGGTGGCCACAGGAGCCTGGAAACAGCTGGAGGCTGGGACTGATTAATTCACACACACATGAACAAGACCATGGTTAAAGACAGGAAATCTGTGTGGACAAACACACAATAAAAAGTCTCTCAGACAAATGCACTCCCCAGGGAGGAGTGAGAGTGTTCCTGGTCCTGTTCCAGACGTGAGCGAAGAAGAGCTTGCAGGCTGAGTGCCCTGTCACACCAGGATGAGGGACCCTGTCCCTCACAGTGGCTCTGGGTCACATCCCTTCAGGAAGCTGGAACTGGTTTCATCTCTGAGCCAGGTCAGAAGCACAGATTCCCATCACAGTGCTTTGAAATAAAAACTTCAGCTTCTCCTCCCACAGCCCACTGTATCTTTGGCCTCAGGAGAGCAAAAATGTGATTATTTGGAACTGTTTTGAACACAAACCTGACTGAAGATGAGGAAAATCTCCCTGAGGACTTTCAGATCACCAATAGCAGGCACACATGCACCAAGAGTTTCTCAATCACTGAACGTGCAGGTTTGCAATGACAGAGTTTCTTCTGTTCAGGGCTGTGCAGGTACTCAGGCCCCTCACTGAAATCTTTGCAGTAACACATCATCACATTCTCCCCCTGCATTCCCACACCTCACATTAACCCCCTGCAGGCTGCTCTTGGGTTCAGCTCTTCCCTGTCCCTGCAGAATCTTTCCACACTGCTTCCAGAAAAAAAACCCCAAACCTTGCTGGGAAAAAACAAACCAAATATGAAGCTTTGAAATAAAGTAAAACAACAAAAAAAGTGAAAGCTCTTCAATTCTTGCAGTCATGGAAGAGTGGAATTGTATAATCAGAACAGTTAAAGTGACAGTCTGGGAATACTTGGTCCATACCTGTCTCTTTATACCAAATAAGCACAAAGTTTCAGAGAATAAAGGAATTAGGGAATGGCTGGAGCTGTGTCAGGGCAGGCTCAGGTTGGATCTCAGGGAAAGGTTCTTCCCCCAGAGGGTGGTTGGCACTGAACAGGCTCCCCAGGGCAGTGGGCACAGCCCCAAGGCTGCCAGAGTTGCAGGAGGGTTTGGACAACGCTCTGAGGGACAGGGGGGGATTGTTGGGGTGTCTGTGCAGGGCCAGGGGTTGGACTGGATGATCCTCAGGGGTCCCTCCCAGCTCAGGACAGTCCATGGCTCCACATTTCTCTTTGTAAGTTGTCTCTTACAGCAGCTGCTTCTGCCAGATGTTATCAGGCAACAAAGCCCTGCCAGTGTAAGAAAAGCTGGGAAAGGGGAAAAGGAACATAAGCAGATGTTTCCTCACCTGTGAGGAAGAAGAAATCTCCCCCTGAGAACACAAGAACACGATGGCCCCAAAGCACAGACCTGGGCAGAGACCCCCAGCAAAACAGGAATTCCTGTCACCCAAAATGCCTAAATCCCCTGGCAGATACACCCCAAGACAGACATCAGCAGTTACCCCCATCAGAATAAAGATGAATAAAACACACAAAAGGATTTCCCCACATTCTTCAGAAATTCAGTTCCTCCCCACGCACATTAAAAAGGTTTTTGCGTCCTTGAGCTGTTCACTCAAAATATAACATCACTCTGAAGAGTCTTTAAGATAAAAGGCAAATATTTGTTCTTCAGACTGGCAGAAATACAGAAAAGTCAGCAGAGTCTGGGGAAGGGGGGATGTTGAGGTGCATTATCTTTACTCCTGAGGTCCATTATCTCCATCACTGAGGAGGATGACCTTTATCACTGATCTCACACACAAGTGCTCTCAGCAGCTCTGAGGGATGTTCATCTGAACCAATACCTGCAAGGCAGTCCCTGCCCCTTCTGAACTGAACCAAAACCAACAACCAACCAAAGGAAAACAACCACAAGGGGATAAAACAGAACATTCAGCACTCCAGACACTGCCCTGCAGGGGAGGACCAGCCAGCCCCAGAAAGACCTTGCAGATATCACCAAAGGGATGCTAAAATGTAAAGATTTCGGGTTGTTTAAACGAAGTTTGGGCCTTCCCAGCCCCCTCAGCCCGAAGAAACAAACCAAGGATTGATGTCACAGAGCCTGGTCATCATGAGCACAGGAAAACGTGGGGTCTTTGGTGACAAACGATGCCCCACCTTTAGGGTGACTCTCTGGTCCCTCAGGCCCTGCAGGATGTTGGTGCCACTGCCAATGAGCTCATCCACGCCCCGGTGGGCGCTCTGCAGGGACTCGTTATACTGTAAGGTTTCGTCGATCGGGATGGTGGTGGCAGAGTCCTGTGGGGAAAGGCAGGGACTCGGTTACCTGTCAGCCCCACTGCCCACACGCAGCACACCCCACCCTGCACACCCCACGGGGCTGGGGGCTCCCTGCACACCCCACAGGGGCTCCCTGCACACCAGCCCCCTCAGCAGCAGAGGGAACACCACGCTGAGCGAGGTGACCTGGCAGGAAGGAAGGAAGCCAAAACTGATGAGCTGCTCCACCTCCAGGATGAGGGGAGTGAAAGCAGAGAGTTTTTGCAGTCTCAGTTCATGATTTATGCAGGAAAGGGGCACTGCAAGAGAGGACGTCAGAGCTGCAGAAGGAGGAGCCATTGGATCACTGCAGGTGAAAGACTTGTGGAGGATTTCCCACCGCGCCCCTGAGCGACAGAAGGCCGGAAAACCAAGTGTTTGGAAGATGATATTCCAAGTGTTTATGACACCGTGCAAACTTCTGGCTGTGAGGGCACACAGGCATGGTCCCCTGAGCTCTGGCTCACTCACCACCCAGGGCCTCAGAGAAAAGAAACAATTACAAATTTACACTTTTCACATTTTTTTTCCCAGCAAAGATGCATTTGCTCAACAAGGAACCAGGACTCTTGAAATGGGATAAAACCCTAATCTGAACTGCACAGGAGGGCAGAGGATGTGATCCCTTGTAGCCTGCCCAGGGCCCCCAGCCCAATGTGCTCTCTGTCCCACAGAGCAGGCAAAGGGCTCGTCACTGCCACGTGGGTTTGGAGCAGGACGGTGACACCAGTGGGTGTGGGGACATCGATCCCTCCTGCCAGGCACTCCCAGCAGGAGCAGCCCAGAGGCACAGTGAGGTGGCACAGTGAGATGGCACCACCAGGGCCTTGAGCTGCTGCCTGGGGGTTTTCCCCAGAATGGTACAGGGGAGGCTTTGAAGGTAAAGACCACTTTAAACTCTGAATTAAGTCAAATGTTCAGAACAGCTTCCAAAAACTGTTCTGGATGTCAGAGTGATTTACTGAGGATGCCCCAACACCCAGCTGACATCTCCATTTGACAGAATAGGGGGGTTATGAATACGAACTGGCTAAAATAGGCCAACAACTGACAAATAAATCCCCATTTTCCTACTAAAATGTCACTCCAAAGTCACATTTTTGTAGCAAGGTAAAAAGAAATACAAAATAATCTTGTGTTTTCTTTCATTTGAGACACATTTCAATATCTAAAGGAGGAAAAAAACCCAATTTGCTCTCTATTGTGCATCTGTAAGCCAGCTGTTGGTCTTTAAAAGTGTTCCTCTAACAACGAATTTTCCTGCACGACAGCTTGTCCCTGCTTGCAGAGGAACACCAAAGTGTTTAAAAATAAATCAGCTTTCCTTTCTAGTCTTGTTTTTAAGTTTGAAGCAGCCAAATAAACACCAGACATTATCTTTCTGGCAGGCTGTGAGGAGTGCATGGAAATGCCCAAATCTGAAGCAAAGAGGACCCTCCCCACTCATTCCTGACAACACTGACTACACACAGGATGAATGTTGTGGGAGGTGCCTTTAACAGAAAAGGGGGAGGGGAAGGGAAGAAAAAAACTTTAAAAAATAATGATTTAAAAAAACAACACACACACACAAAACAAAAAAACAAACAACAACAAAAAAAAAAACACCCAAGACCAACTTTTCAGTTGCGGAAAAGCGAAATCTGAAAGCGAACCTACATTACTCAGAGCACAGTTCCTCCAGGAATTTGCACTGAGGGGACTTTCCAGTGGAGGAACTAAGAATTAGCATGAAAAGATGGAACATATTCATGTTTCCACAAACTTTTGACTCCTTTCCAGGCAACGAGCAAGGGCTTTGTCCCTGCTGGTGATCTGTATTTAGCTAAGCAGCAGCTTTGCTGACATCTACTGTCAGCAGGGTGTATCAAGTCAGGCTGTTCACAGCTCTCAGGATTTGACACAAATCCAAGTAAAATGAGCCCTGTGGGACCTCACTCACCCTTTTGCAGCTGCCCAGCCAAGCCAGGTGGGACTGCACTGGATAAAAGAGCAGCAGCAGCTGCTGGAGCCTTTTCCTGCTGCCTCCAAACAGCCCTGTGAGAGCTGCACTTTACCCACACACCATTATCCTTCCCTGCCAGCCCGCAGCTCCTGCAGCCCAGAGAGACAAAGCACACATTTCCACCCAGGTAAACCCCATATTTACGTTGGTGGTGAAGGTCCTGGCCAGCAGCTCCTCCCGCTGCCGCTCCTGCTGCTCCCGCAGGTAGCGCCGCTGCTGGAAGTTCCTCAGGGCCGTCTGCAGGTGCTGCACGTCGTACTTGAGCTGGTCAACCCTCCTGCAAAGCACCAAGGGCAGGGTGAAAGCGCTGCCCTGGGCTGCTGGTTTTCACAAGAAAGGTGCAGCACCACCAGTCAGCACGGAATGGTGGGCTCTGCTCCTCCACAAGAGGCCGCAGGGTTCAGTGTCGGCCAAAATTCCACACCCATGTCTTCCCCGCCTCGTTTCGCTACTGAGCAGGGGATGATTCAACGAGTGATCGTTCATTTTAATCAATTATTTAGCCTCCAGAATAACAACAGAACGTGAAGCAGAATTCCTGAGCTGTCTCAAAGCATTTCTGACACAGAACAGCTCGCTTTGAGCAACAAAAGTGCAATAAATGCACAGGAGAGCTAACTGGCAGTCTCAGTCACCCTGTTCCATGACTTCAGGAGTTATACAGATCTGTTTCTCATATAGCACAGACTTGGAAAGATGGCAGGTTTTGTATTTTATGATCCCCATTCACATAAAAGATGAAGCTTTCAAGTTTCATTAATTAGCACCACGTTCTTAAGTTTGAATATTTATTAGAAGGAGCTTGAAAGTCAGTGGGCAACACAGGACACATCCCAGACACCTCCACTGGGCTGAAACAAATCCTGTCCAAAACTCCTGATGAAACGTTTGATAATGTTTAGTGTTTGATTACCACTCTAGATAACTGACTACCTTGATTATCAGACTGTTCTGGTCTGGTGGAAGGGCAGGGAGTTGGAAGTAGATGATCTTTAAGGTCCCTTCCAACCCAAATGAGTGTGAGAGTCTATAAAGAAATTCATGACTACTTCACGTACTGACCTCTGCAACACATGGAATCCACCCCTGCTGTCTGCAAGGGCATTTTGGGACATTGATAATTGAGCCACAGAATTCATCAAGAACAGCAGCTCCTGATGTCTGTGGTCCCACCTGCTGCTCAAACCAGGGCTCACTTTAGAAATTTCATTTTAGTCACCCACAGCCAGGAAAACGGTCCAGAGAAAATGACACCACCTGCCTCCACAAGTGCATTGAAACCAACCTTCATATAAAGTGGAATTTTATTTAAACCTCCAAGCGCATGTTCTGCTCATCTGAGAACAGAGCCATGACTGCAGCTCCACCACCAGTCTGTTCCTGAGGATCTCTGAGGTCTTTCCCAACCTTAATCATTCTGTGGTTAAATGTAGGACAGAGATTTTTTCCCTCAGTGCCTCAACTCTGCTGCTGCAGAGCACACAGCTAAGTTATGCAGGGTGTAAAGGTTTCATGCAAATCAAAAGGCACAGGGCCTCAATAAACGTAATTAAAATAATTACAAAGACTCCCCTGCCCAAGCAGAGCAAGGCAGGTGAACTCACAGCTTGGCATTCTGCCTCTTGTTGGGAGGTTCTTTGCTGGACAGGATTTCCAGGCGTTCCAAGTTGCTGAATATGTTGTCTATTCTTGCTTGGATCTCGTTTTCCACCACTGCAAGGAAATTAAAACATTGTTTGATTTGAATAAAAGAACTGCAATCTGATGAAGGGAAAAGCTCAAAAGCATTCAAAGCTGTCTGTAAAACCTGAGAGATGCTAATCCTTACTAGATGAAAATCAGATAACAGAACTATAAATATCAGGAAATGCCACTTCTTTAGCTCAGTAATTTGACACTCTCACCTTTCCCCCCTCCTCTGAGAGGGGAGCCAGGAAAACCCTTGCCCTATCCAGACACCTGAGCCTCCTCTCCCTGTCAGGAATCAGGATTGCAGGATCCCACACTCCCCCTGCAGCCCCTTCCTGCCCCCTCAGCAGAACTGGCTCTCCCAAACCAGGCTGATCCTCACCAGGCTGGGGATTTAAACCTCTGGAAGCTGTTCCAACATCCCTAAAGGCAGGATCCAGAGTGGGCAGGGCTGTCAGGCAAACAGCTCACAGGGCCAGGGCTCAGGAAAACGAGGTCACAAAGAGCTGCCTCTGCAATCATCTGATAACGGGTGTGGGAAGGGCAGTGGGGCCACAGTGCACAGCAAACCCCTGTACCTGGGCTTTAGTGGGGTGGGAGACTGGTACAGCTGGGAAGAGCCAGGTAACAGCACAGGGTACAAGGCACAGCCCCCTCCTCAGCTGACACCCCCTTTTTCCATCCCCAGCCCAGAGAGGTGCACAGGGTGGGCTGCAGGACACAGCCCAGCCCCGAGGACACCCCTGAGCCCTCCCCCTGCCCTGGCCAGACCCCACACAAATCCTCACCAAACCCTACAGACCCCCCCTGTCCTCATTTTGCATTTAGACTAAGGAGGAACACAGGGAATCATCATTAACCACCTGCTCACGGAATGTCAACACTTACCAGAAAATGCCATTCAGCAGAACCCAGAGAAGCAAAGAGGACCCTTTCCTTTGCCCCTGGACCTCCCACAGTGCAGGAGTAACAGAGTCACATCCACAGACACAAATCAGAATGTCCTGATTCATCTCCCCATCGTTTACTGCAGCTCAACTCAACAGAGGAGCACCCAGGAGAGCAGCCAGACAGTCACAGCAGCTTTGCTGAGACCAAACAACACTATTACAGCATTTCTGGAGCAAGGAGGGACTATTTGCTCAAAGGTGGAAAAGGCAAACTGCAAGTTTGATTTCCTGGCCCCTGTTCCTGCTCTTCAGCCACAGATAATCCCTCTTCCCATAAATTCTGGGATGCACACTAATATCTACAGCAATATCTGTATCTTTATGTATGCATAAATAATCAGAATGCTCATTTATTGACCATGTAAGGTGTACACAATCCTATCCCTTGAAATGGTCTCAAGCAGCAGAAGCAAGATGGGAAATCACATTCATTTTCAAAATCCCAGGGAAGGGCAGTCTGGGAACTCTGGCAGTGCAGGTGGAGCAGTGCAACCCCCACAAAAACCAGAATCAGGATTTTAAGCTGTTATTTTTGGTTAGGAAAGTAATCACAGCCCTTCCTAGTGCAAAGTCATACTTCACAATAACATTTAGAGCAATAGGAGTCAGTGGACAGGTAATAAATGCAGCCACTCAGGAGCTCCTGGTGAATCCATGCTCAGTGACTCCAGCAGGAATTCAGGCTTCAAACACAGGTCCAAAATACATGGGCCAATTCTGCACTGGGGTAAAAAGTCCTGCCACTCACACACAGGAGCATTTTATTATCAGAGTCCTTTATGGGCACAGGGTTATAGTCCAGGTTCACTGAGGCAGTTTCAGCCCTAAAGGTTCTGCACGTTTCCCACCAGCAGGTGGAATTACAGGCTCAGGCTCTGGTGCAGCAGGAATTGTCAGAATCCTCCTGCTCACCAAACCCCAGCCTTTTCCCCAGAGCATCTTCAGGGGAAGGCTGTGGTTGGTGGATGCTGAGGGAATACCACCAGCAGGGCAGGCACAGCCACATCCCTCACTTTTTGGGTTCTGCCAAAGCAGCCCAGCAATGGTGTGGATGTGCAGCTCTGTCCACACCAGGGTGTTTATTGACTGCAGCTCCACGAGGGAGCTTCTACCCTGGTTATGGTGCAGAGCCTGCAAACACCCCCTGGCCACGAGCTCCAAAATCCCACAGCAGGACACCACAGGAGCACCCACAGCGAGCACTGCTTGGCACCTAAAGGATTACAGCGGAAAGATGAGCTGAAGAAAATTCTTGTTGTTTTTCTGCTCTGTGCTTCTTACAAAACACCACCTCACTGAAGTGAATCACTGAAATAACTGCAATGCTGCTGTGTCTCCCCAGCTGATCACAGTCACTCAAGAGCCAAATCTGTCCCAGTAATTGCAAATATAACGCTAAAGCTCCCAGGCTAAGCCAGCCCAACCCCTGGGTGGGACTCCCCTCCCTTCCAGGAATTACTTACAGTGCACTGAGTCCTTGTCTGAGGTCTCCAGGCGCCCCATGTACGACTGCACCTCGTGGACCTGCCTGGCAAGACACAAACAGCACATGCAGAGCAGTCAGAGACAGCTACAATGTCATTTTCAGTACCTCAGTTTTCGGCTTCCTTCACTGGAAAGCACTTCTCAGAACAGAGCAGGAATCAGCAAGTGTTCAGCGCAGACAGCCCATCAGTGACCACCACCAGAGTTCCACTTCACAAGCACTGCAGAGTAAATTCATTTACGCACAGAAATCAAGGTGAAGATTAGGAAAAGAAACAGCTGCTCTGCCTGGAGGTGACAGGGGGAGGTACCTGAGGGCAGAATGGCACAGAAGGTGAACAAGGAATGGTTTTCACTGCCTTACAAAATATAAATTCAGAGGCATCAAGTGAAATTAAAAAGCTTAAAATGATAAGGAACCGCTGTTTCCCACAGACCTGCATTTGGGCAATGCTGAAATACCCCTGGCCAGGTCACCTGGTGTGACCAGTCTCACAGCAGCTGAATTCACCTTCAACAAAGGCACTTCGTTGATGGCTTTGATTACACTTGATATTTCACAAAAACATCGTGGCCTTCTATAAAAACAAATTTGAAGAGGCCAGAATTTTGGCCATGGTAGTGACCCTTTCACCTGATAACCAAAGCACAAACGTTTCTGGAGCCAGACTTCGGAAACCACCCTGCAGAGCTCGAAAATATTTGTCCTTATTATTATTATTATTAGATGAGATTTTTAAATCAGAGCTGCCTTCCAAACCCTGACTCTGCGCTGCTGAAGCGGGGACGTCCCAAGAATGGCAATGCTTGGAATTAATTACAGAACCAATTCAATAGCCAGTGCCCTGCAATTCCATGCTTGTTTCTATAGTTTGGTTTTCAGTCAGTTCAATTATCATCCCACCTCCCTTGAAAGAGCTCCACAAAGCAGCAAAATACCATGGAAACTTTGGATTAAAGAATCACAGAACGTTCAGAGTTGGAAGGGACCTGTGTGTGATTCCACGTGCAGTAACAACAGAGCTGCAAGATTTTTTTTTTTTTTTTTTTTTTGCCTCATTTTGCAATTTTCACGCCACTCCTCCCCTCCCTGGATGGGCATTATCCATGAAACAGAGGATTTATCCTCAAGGAGCTCCCAGAGGGGGTTTAAACTGCAGAACACCTCAACCCCTACTGCCCCAAAAGCCAATATGAACCAGCATCCCCTTAAAGGAGCGCACGTCAATTAGCAGGGAGTAATTAATAATTAATTAACAGGTCCCTCGTGGCCGGGGCTGACGTGGCAGCAGCTCCCGAGGGAACTTTGAAACGCCTGACCTCGTGTTATGGACTCGAATCCTTTACAGAACACGGGCCCTTCCCGATTTCCCAAATCCCCACATCCCTCACACAGCTGTTGCTGCGGCTGCCCCAGCCCCTCAGACCGGCCAGAGCTCTCTTTCCCCTCACGCACTGGCAGGTTCGCTGTCCCAGCCCTTCTCACCCCCAGAGCCCCCTCAGGCACTTCTTGTTGTGCCGGCAGAGCCCCTCGCACCCCCTGTGCCCCCTCACTCGCTCCTTGCTGTGCTGGCACAGCCCCTCACCCCTCACTAACTCGATCCTGCGCTGCTTCAGCCTCTCATCCCTCACAAACTCGTTCCTGGGCTGGTAGAGTCCCTCTCCCCCTCACGCACTTGTTGGTGTGCCGGTACAGCCCCTCCATGCCCCCATTTCCCCTCACAAACTTGTTCCTGGGCCGGCACAGCCCCTCCCAGCCCTGTTTCCCCTCACGCACTTGTTGGTGTGCTGGTACAGCCCCTCCATGCCCCCTTTGCCCTCACGCACTTGTTGGTGTGCTGGTACAGCCCCTCCATGCCCGCTCTCGCCGCTCCCCTCACACGTCTCCCCTCCGGCCGCTTCCGCTTCCCCTCCCGCCGCTTCCGCTTCCGCTTCCCTTCCCCGGCCCCGCCTGCCCCTCCCGGCGCCGCCAGGGGGCGCTGCGGGACCGGCGGGAGCCGTGAGGGGCGGGGAGGGGGGGGGGAAGGGACGGGTCGGGATTTCGGGATTTCCCAAAAACTCCCGATTCGGGGGGCTCTCCCAGGCACAGCTGTTCCTGCGGGCTCGCCCCGCGCTCAGCGGAGGTGGCGCGACCTGAGGGAGCTGCTTTGGGGCCGTGGGACTGCGTGCCGTGAGTGGCGTCGCGTTCCTCGCCACGGACACCTTCCACCAGCCCAGGTTGCTCCAGCTTGGCCTCGGACATTCCAGGGATCCAGGGGCAGCCACAGCTTCTCTGGAAAATCCATTCCAGCCCCTCCCCACCCTCACAGCCAGGAATTCCTTCCCAATATCCCATCTAACCCTCTGGCAGTGGAAAGCCATTCCCTGTGTCCTGTCCCTCCATCCCTTGTCCCCAGTCCCTCTCCAGCTCTCCTGGAGCCCCTTTAGGCCCTGCAAGGGGTTCTCAAATCTCCCTGGAGCCTTCTCTCCTCCAGGTGAGCCCCCCCAGCTGTCCCAGCCTGTCCCCAGAGCTGAGGGGCTCCAGCCCTGCAGCAGCTCCGGGGCCTCCTCTGGACTGGCTGCAGCAGGTCCATGTTCTCACCCTCGGGATGCCCATGGACACACAGGCCCTGGCACACCTGCACATCAGCCCCTGGGGCTGCCTGGGCAGCAGAGCTGTCAGTGCCAGGGCCCTGGGGGTGGGGACATCTCTGTCCCACCAGGGCTCCATCCCCCGGCTCAGCCGGCAATCCCAGCTCA